CAGGGGCTATATTTTAAGTATCTTTCTCAATAGACGCAAGTGTTTAGGCCATGCCCATCCTTGCCTTTCTTCTGCAGATTCTGCAGAAGAATTCATCTCTGCCCAATCAAAATTCTTGCTCATGATGTTATCGCCCCTCATGACTTGACCTATTCAGCTTCAGGGTCCTGGTGTTGCTTTTCTTAAGTCTATCCCAAATAGTTACACCTTTTTTGTTAAATTATTGTTCTATCCCCTTCCTTTACACTTACATAATAAACAGCAGAGAAGTCAGTCCATCAGTCAGTCCTTCAAGAAAGGTGATTATAGCCCAAAAATGGATGAGGAAATCTAGCCTGAGTTATGTACATTCAACATGAAGGGAGTACCACATAAAAATGCGTATTTCAAAGTTTCTTGCAGTCACTTGGAATCTCTTTTCCTTCACTTGTGCTAACAATCCTCAACTTCCAATACGCTGCTTTTTCACTAAGAGCTTTTAAACATGTTCCTGAAGTTACAGTTGATTTCAACTGAAATTTTCTCCCTATAGTAATTTTCATTTGGAGTATATAAAAGCAATGCTCTACATCTGCATAGAAGAGCTCTGTATCTGCAAAAATATATAAAAGAACTCTGTACAAAAATGCAAACTTTACATCCACATGAAAATAAAATTGACTGCTCATGGTGAACTAAAGCAGATTTGATCAATTTGTTCTTTAAGCTGTTGTTATTGTTCTTTTTGGTGTCATTTTGCAACTAAAATCATAAGCAATGTGATCTACTCAGTATATTAGTCATGAATAAAAATACATTTAGCAAAAGCACAGGCTCTTTAGTTTTTTTGTTTGTTTGTTTGTTTTTTTAACTATATGGAACATGAACACTTCATGTAATTGTTCCATATCTGGTCCTGGAAAAATCAAAGCCACTCTTGGATAATTGTACTGTATTATTAAAGGTCAGTATTCTTCGCATTGACCTGCTTTACATCTTCTGATGGCACCTGGGAGATATTTCAAGACCAGAATGGCTGGCCATGAAATATGCCCCAACCTAAGGAACTGCCAGTGGTAGGCTAGCCAGGGAGGTAAATAATGATTTTCCTATTGGCCGTGCTTCGGGTATGTGTCTCTTAAGAGAGACTTCGGGGGAAGATACTGCCATGTGACTGCTGTAGAATTGTGAGGAGAAACAAAACAGACAAAGGTCTTAGAAAAGTAGAAGTTTTTTAGCATTTTTCTTGAGGTTTGCACCTTTGTGCCCTATCTAGGCAAAGTTTTATAAAATTAGTTTATCAGATTGTGACCCTAAGCCATTGTGTGATGCAGCCACGAAGAAAGAGACCTAAGAGTTCAGGAAAAGCCATATATGGCCCAGTAATCTGTCTGTGACAGCGGGTAGAAGTAACATCCTAGCTTAACATGCTAGGATGTATTTCTGGTCAAAATAGGGAGACATTCAAACTATTGTTTAAGTAATTGTGCCTGCTCATGTGGAATACTGTGCATGGTTCTAATAACCCATGTTAAGGAAAGATTAATTTAAATTGTTACAACTACACACAGCAGGAGCTGGAGCGATTAGGGAAGTAGAGATCCTATTTTATAAGCTATGTTTACTGGGGGTGCAGGGTTTTTTTTTTTTCCACAGACTTAACAGAAATACCTGTACTGGCAAAAGTCTGTACAATAGATCGGGCTTCGAGGACCAGGGCTTATTAGAATGAATTAGAATGAAACCTAGCAGAGGACAGGAGAAACGGGAGAAAGATACAAAGAACAAGAGGGATGAGATATGAGTTTTTTCTACAAACAGATCAAGAGGATAAATGTCAAGGAGAGAAATGTATTGTTTAATATAAAGGAAAGTGTTGGTGCTGGCAGATACGCATATAAATCGCCTCTGAATGAAAGTAAACCACCAGATTGATTAGTGTAACAGGGCAACGGCCTCACTGAGCAAGGGGAACTATTACAATCTTGCGTCCTGTGTTTTACATCATACCAAAAAGATGTGGCAACATTTCAAAATGTTGCCACCATTTTGGCTTTCAAATAATTCCTTACATTTTGGCTTTCAAATAATTCCTTATTCTTATATACATTCAAAAAAAAAAAAAAAGCAGTAAAAAAATACTTGCCACGTGCTTTGCCCAGTCAACTTGTCATTCCTTGTTCTAGGCATTCCCTTATTCCTTCTTATAACATTATCCGGAAGAAGTGTGAGCTGTGGTTATGGAGTTTGATTAACCACTTAAAAGAGACAAAAGAACTTTATTAGGATAGTATTTGTCTTTCCATGTGTTGAGTACTCCATAACACAGACATCCAGTTGTCACTCATCATAAATCTACAAAAGCACAACTACCATACTGTGTGCACACGGTTAAAGTTACACAGTTATAAATTAAACTTTTATTGGTGCATCTATTTTCCCACCGAGCAAAACAATTACAAAGCAAATTGAGAACTGCCAGGATACCACTTGAGCATTAACTTGGTAGCTGCCTCCCACTGTGCTGGCACTGTTTTTACTCTTCTTCCTACTCAACAGTCTTGCAGCAACAAAGTCAACAGCTGTGGCCAAAGGCAGTCAAGTTTGGCAGTTGCAGCACCCAGATGACAACCTCTGGTGTATCTCTTTCCAATAGCAGCAGCAACATCTGGATTTATTGACAGCTCGAGGGTTTCTCTCTTGGCTGGATTCCTGGTGAGCAGCTGTGGATCTGTCTCTGTTGCTATCCTAACGCTGGGCCGTCGGGGGGTAACAGGGTTCCCGTGTCCTGCTATGACTGAGAATCCTCACTATGTACCTCTAATCAGTCTCTATATCCAATGACATTATACTGAGTCAAAAAATATTTCCATTGAATTGCCTATTTTCTTTCTAGAATGGTCTATTCTTTGTCCTTCAAACACACTGCCCACTAATGTACCATGTTGCTTATGATTACAAGAAGAATTTCAAATGCCTCCATAGACTATTTCAGTGTGAATTTTTTTGCTAGTCTCTGGCTGTAAACGCAATTTCGTTTGTAGAAACAGAAGCTTACATTATACCAAATTAAAGCGCTGTACTCCCTGACACAGATGAACATGAGTGAGTAATCATGCAGGAGATAGGAGTTTGGCAGAGCTTTTAGCTTTAAGGTGATGGTTACTGATCCCTGGGTCATAGGATACCAATGAGCCACAGGACGGGATGTGGAATAAGAGGGGACTGTAGCAGTAAGTGTTTGCACAGGTGCTGCTAGACAGGGAAAGGTATATGGTACATGGTGCAGCAATTTAAACTGAAGGAAGCAGCACTCATTCAGACTAGCTGATCACTCCCAGACAAATCTGTACGATAGACACACTTGAAATACAGAAAGGTGTAAGTATGGCAGAAAATGAAAAAGGAATTTAGAGGGAAAGACAAAGACAGGTTTCTGGTGAAGACCTCAGGAGAAACAGGAACGGTGACTTAGGAAGTGAAAAAGATTAAGACGATATTGCAGCACAGACAGGCACTTTCAGGCCTTTCCTCCCCGCCCCCCCTTTTTTTTAAATAAAACATTACTGTCTACCTTTTCAAAGTGTTTTGGGGAATTTAGCTAAGAGTCTTATTATTCTGGACAAAGTCCTGTGGCTGAAACCCTGCTCAGAGCTTTAGAAATTTAAAGATAAAATGCTTTAGAGTATGTAAGTGCTGAGAACTTACAGGGTTCTCCTAGCCCTACCAATAACTCCTCCGTAATACTTTGTGAACCCAGTAATACAGTTGTGACCACAAATGCTGCGTTAAACAAGGAACTCTCCTGCCCGTTTGCCATAATTCTCTCACATAGGTTTCATAGTTCTTTCAGAAATATCTGATCACTATGTGAAACCTAGAGGCAGAAAAGCCAGACAGAACTCTGAGGCTTACTAAAGCTGGATATCTAGACTTAGAATTCTACACAAAATATAAATTATTAGCACTACAGTGAATCATATATCATAACATACATTAATAATTTATTACTCAGTGAAATGCTAAGTGTGATTTTTAATACTATATGACAGATTTTCTAATTTATGAACTGTCTATTAAATTTAAAAGTCCTTCTATTTCTTTCTTCTCTATCATATATTAAAGTCTCCTTTTGTGTGAGCCTCCTAATCCTTCATTTATTAACAATATCACTCTCCTTCTCTTTTCTATTATTGCTTTTGGGTTCTTTCCTTTCCTTCTTTCTTTTGTTCTCCTTTTACTTTCCAAGCACCTTGAGATTCAATTTTCACAATAACAATATGTAAGAATTGAACTCAAATGTTTTCTGTCTTTCTCCCCACGAATATAATATCTTCCATGAATATATTAAACTCACATATGCCACTCTTAGAGTGATCCATAAATACCGTAAATTAATCATAGGGCAAATACTATCTATCACTTGTAGTAGGAAAAATATAGTAGCTTTTCTCATTGGATTTCTTTCTTCTCTGCTGGCTTTGGTACCTAGTAATTAGTATCATGTGGAATCCAGATCCAGATAATCCTCAGTAGATGTGCTGTTGCCTGACAGATACTTGCTATACAAACATTTATGTATGTATCTACATTGATCAGAATTTCCTGGATCTCTGCTAAATTGAAACCCAGGTCAAAAAGTACAAGGTTGACATTAAAAAAATGTTACCTTCCTTGTAATTATATTTCCTTTGTGGAAAGGTAAATTCCCATAATCAAAACTGTACATAATTGCCAGTTAGTTGCCTTAAGCACATTGATTTGTGTTTGTTATATAAATTCCCAGTCCCTTTATAGCATGGTTACCCTTGGGAAGGTCCATAAATAACATGATTTTTCAGAACTCTCTTTTTCCTAACTAGAGGATCACCACACATTAAAATGGACAGTCTTCTACATGTCTTTGTGGCATTTCTTCCTGCTTAAAAGGTAGTGTTTATCCACAGGATTTTGCACACGAATTTAAATTGGGGAAGGTTAGACCAAGGGTGTGGCTATCCAATCTACACATTATTTCACAGCTCACTGCAGCAGCAGAGTTGTACGGGCATTCTGGAGATCCTTTGGGATAAACAACACCAAAGAAGAGCTGTCTAGCAAGCGGACCCCACTGACTTGTTCTATACATGCTTGCTCATCTAACACACCCAAATGGGGTCACAAAGGGGAGAGTTTTGTCACACCGGCGGTATGACTAATCACACTGGCGAGCTATGCGAGCAGTACGTCTCGCTGATAAGGATTCCTCCTAGCAGTCTTGTGAGGTGAAGGAACAACTGACACCCCCAACGCCACCACCAGTGATCTGAGAAACTTGCCATGGTCTATACGCACATCATGGTGTGGTGTGAAAGACAGATTTGCAGCCATTAAAGGAGTTACTCTGCTGCAAAGCACTTGAATAAATTTAAGCACATAAGCTCCAGGACATGAATTGAGACTATGGTGACCGCTCCTTTTACAACTGTTTTCTTGTGCTTCTGGGTGCTAATTTTTAATGTGTGCCTTATGAGTGTGATTTCATCTTCAATATTTAACTGAAAAGGTTGTCTGTCTTGAGAGGATTCCTAGGGAAGAGCCTGAACGCTGAAATCCTTTTCATCCATAGAACAGGTTCAAAAGATGCAAAGGCAGACACATTCTCCTGCATGATCTTGCAAAAGTGCTTGAGTTTTGCCGTCAAAACTCAAAGAGCTCTTCAATCTACAGACCCATTCGGACTTTGGTCTCTACACTGAGTCTGCCGGCAATTGTGTCAGCTGTGATCTAGGCACCTGTCTGTTAGAAACTGTGCTGAGAACACAAACTCATTTCATACAGATCTCTGAAAAGACATTAGATGGCAATAATTGCTCTTACTTCCAACCTGGATTAGATTTGAACCAACAACCCAAGCTTCATATTCTATTACTGGTCCCCTGAGCTGTTCACTACCCTTGAATTCTTTCTCTGATGCTGTGTTATGTACTCTGGAAATAAATATATCACATTCCTAATTCTGTGCACAGAGGAATGAGAATGAATACGAATAATTCTTCAATGCATGTGGATTTGTACTCCATTAAATAAAACCCCAGTATTTTAAGAACATAAAAAATTCTGACTACTTCCTCAAAAATAATAATCATTATACCCTTCTCAGTCTAGGATCTTGCAAAAGTCTCCTGCCCCTGCCAAGGACAGGCCTTGTTTTGGATTATTTGCATGTGCAGCATATATAGCAGAGACCCAAGTACTTGCTGAGGTTATGGAGTTTCATGACAAGATACTGTATGGGACTAAATGCTCTGCTGGAGTAAATTGCCTACTGAAATAGATGGATTTGCATGAGTAAATATCAGTGAGGAATAAAGAATGTAAATTATTGAGACTTATTAATTGGAGGAGGTATATTTGTTAAAAATATAAATATTCCCACCACCAAAACCAGCAAGGATTTTGCATAAAGACATGAATAGGATCAAATAGCCACCATAAAGGCACATGTTTTTACTATGCTGTAAAGTCTATTTTAAAGGTATATATGTGACCTCACAGTAAATTGGTGTTGTGACAAATAGCTTTTTTGCTCCTATAATTTGTCAGCTAAACCACAAAGCATTTAATAGTGTTTGAGTCTTTATTGCATTTACACATATAAAAATCAGGAATATCATACATTTATGTTAAAGGTACATACCATCAAAGATCTCTTTTTAGTTAAAAAAACAAGCAAAAAAGAAAAGACAACCAAAACCCTGAGTCCTAGGTAATACTTTCCGTACAATGCTGTGTTTACCTGAGAGTTCATGTTTACAGCTCGGTTATAAAAAGCTGAGAAAATAGAGCTTTGTTACCTAGACACTGATGAAACTCTAAATAGCATTGCAGGCAGAGCTGTATAATGAGTACATATTAAAATGTCTTTGGTGTCTTCTGAGAGTGCAGAACATTACTTGTTACTCTGACCATAAATGTATAACAATTGTGGTTTTGTAAAATAAGTTGATACCTCCTGCAGTCTAAAATATAGAACAATGCAGATGACTAATTTGAATCAACGAGGTTGCACATGGCATGTCACAGTGGGATTCCTAATGATCTTCTACAAGGATTCTGTTTGTCTAAGGCTCCCATTTTCTGTCCTGTGATGTGTGGATGTGAACTACGCTGAAAATAATACAGGGCTAATTACCAGCCTTGTCAATGGCAATTCACATACGATGATAAACCATATTTCTAAAAAAAAAATAAATAAATAAAACCCCACATCTTTTCAGTAATGACAACATTGAAACTAAAGATGGTTTCAGCCTCTGCTCATGGTTTCTTTGTTCCCAATAGCATTTTTCAGGGTGCATGTCAGCACAGGTGAAATTAAAATTAAGAAGAAGAAAACAGATTTAGGTCTTAAAAAGGATTAGTCACAACACCATAACCTTCAACATTTGTTTAGAGCAAAAAAAAATGAAAGAATGTAAGAAAGGCTTATGGGAAAAATGTATATCCAATTTGTCCTTTTTTTTAATAAAGCTTCTCCCTTTTTATTTCCTTCCTGGATTTATTTCCTGTGCAACTGTTTGAAAGCAGTCCAAATATCATGTCCTGTAAGCACAGAGTTTTGGGCTTAAAAAACTATTTATCGTTGCATTTTCATTCAGTTCTTCAACATTTATTTTCAGCTGACTTTGACCATTACACAGCAGTTTAAACTGAAACTGCAATCCTTCTACTTCTTTCACAAAGACACTGAATAGCCAAGACTATCAAATGGGAGCAGAAAAAAAAATCTAGTAAATTGACAAAGTGTGTTATATGTTGTTTAAATTTTCCAAATATTGTTACCTGTCCTTGGAAATCATTTTATCCTTCCAATTTAGGTATACCCAAGACATCTAATGTCACTTACTACGTAAATGCTAAGGCATAGTTTGTAACAACGGTTAACACTAGTCTCACCTTATTGGCTTACCTTATCTGTTGGCTTTTCTCATAGTCATTTGATACATGGCTTTGTAAATGGGGGAAACGTTATTCTTCAGGTAGTTACATATGTGTATTTTCATTAGTGTGCCTATACATACAGTCACAGATACATGTATGCACATATACCTCCCTAGATGGCATTCTGTGCACAGCTACACACATACACATGCATATATGCATATGTAGCTTTTCTGGTTAAAAAAACTTATCAGTAGGTCAGAAAACTATGTATGCTATGAAGTATGACAGAATATTGTGTCAGTTGTTGTACTGCTTTTGGTGCAGTGGAAAGCATTAGACATAAATAGCTGTATTACAAGCATTAGAGAATCTGCCTTCTTGATATGCTATTGAATTAAAGTAGCTTCTTTTCTAGTCAGTGCTTCTGTAGCATAAGTGAGTTTAGTGACAAAACAAAACAAGAGATAGAGCAATTGAAGCAGATGTTCCATGAAACTCTTACTATACAGAACACAAGGGTCTGGCATATAGCTCATCAGTAAAACATGAGAATGTACTTGAGTAGAAAAATCACAATCTGGTACCCACAGGCTATTGCCTGCATCTCATGTAAACTGATAAATTAAAGATGCTGCACCATTTTTCCTTGTCTTTCCTTTGTCAAATGCAATCATTTAAACATGCTCTTTGGTACTGGAAAACTTAAAAAATAAGCAAACATACCAACATATACCTTGTTTGCTGAAGCACAGCTTTCTACACACATTAAATTTTTCCTTATCACTTCTGTGGACATATATGTGTATTTTTAATCCGACATAATATTGTTTATTTTGCCTCAGGATTTGCACTTGTAAAAGCAAATTTCAAGGTCTACCCATTGCACCCCCTCTGTCTCTATTGGTGCTAGCAAGAGATATTTTTATCAAGGATTCTGCAGAGTAAAAGATCCATTTATGGTCACTTTGTAAGGAAGCATTTTAAAAATTATGTGGGTATTAAATCTACCCACAGAGAAACAGTATAGAGAAAACATATATTGTTATGCTACATAAAATAAAAAATGTTCTGAAAGCCACAATAATCAAATAAAGAAGGCAAGCTGTCCCCAGACGTTTTGATAGACTGGAAAACAATGTAGTGAAAGTACAAGAATGTTCAATAGTGATGTAGAAACACAATTTATGGTTTCTAAGAATTTGATTATATTTACACTCACAAAAATCTCACAAGATCTAGGACAGTTTTAGTGTTGTGTGCTGACAGAGGTCAGACTTAACAACCGCTGAGCAAAAACATGCAACCTTAATTTGGTAAAATTTGAATATTTCAGTATAATAAAAATAATAATAAATAAAAAAGATGACCAGGTTTTGATTTTTTTTTTTAATTTAATATTTTTATCATTCTTCTAGTCTGTTCTTTAGTCCTTGGAATTTTAGCTTTTGTGAAAGTGTTTTATGAATGCTTAATATTCCTTTCTTACTAGTCTCTCGCAATCTGATGCTAAGTGGGACAAAATGCAAACAGAGCGTTGCCCGTTAAAATTTTAATGCCACATCACAATTTTCTAATGTAGCTATCAGAATTGCAAAGCAGTGTAACTCCACTGAAACTAATAATAAATCAGGTGCTAAGAGCAGTACCTCCTGCAAACAGTGGACTCCAGCGAAGCAATGGGAGACTTGCAAGGACAATTAGTTTCTTTCATTTAAACACTTAACATTCTTTTCCCAAAGTGTGCAAAGATTAACAGGATGCCATATTCCTTTACAGTTGATGTCAGGATTTTCATTTGTGCATGTTTAAAAACAAAAGCATATTTAAAACCAGGGGAGAGTTGTAAGTTTGAAATACTGTAGCTTTAGTCACAGTACAAGCTAGGCATAAAATGAAGCAAGTTGCATGCACACCCGCACACGTGCACACACATGCACACAAATATACACTAAAATGCTCTACCATTCATTCAGTCCTAGGCTTTTGCCCTTATTATTGACGTTACTGAAGATGACTCTGAAGTATCTTTCTGTAGGTACTTCTCTGAGTAATACGGAGGAACATATAACTATTTCCCTAACAGTAGAGTTATCAGAGGTATTCTGGGTAGAAGGCTTTCTCTTCTGCCAATTTTGAGGACATTGTAATTAGCCTATGTGCTTTTGGGGAGGGGGGGGAGGAGGAAGGGAGGAAAAGTCCTACAGTTTGCGCCTTATCCTCAGAAAACAAGGGGCCGAAGAAAAGTTT